TTCAAGATAAGAACACCAGGCGTCCCCAAGTCAGCTGCTGCTGAAACTGATCAGCAGTTGATTCCAGGAAGCCCAGGGCACAGCAACTCTGCCTCGGGCTTCCTGTAGTCAGCCACTGGTCAGTTTCAGCAGCGGCTGAATCTGGACGCCAGTTCCGACTTACATACAGATTCAACTTAAGAACAAACCTACAGTCCCTATCTTGTACGTAACCCGGGGACTGCCTGTATAGTACAAAGGGAAAATGTTCCTAATATTCAGCGTAATGCTCAGCCTTGGTTGTCCTTTCCTTAATTTTATGTAGATCTGAAACAATGAAAAAATATGTTCACAGAAATTTTTGAGCAAAAATGTTTCCATTTTCCAACCAGCTCTAATTGTATCTCTTTATTTCTAGTTACATACTTTTATAAACAATTCCTTATTTCTTTAGTAGCTTTTCTAAGGGTATACTTTCCTTGCATTTTCAGTGGAAGGTGGTTATTTGCTTATTAGGTCTAGACAATTTTCTGCCCTCCTTACCACAAGAGTAAGATTTCTTTTTTGATTTACAAGTGTCTTCTTCCCTTTTCGCACCACATAACGGAAGGTGATAATAGCAGCTTTCAGGGCATTAGCTGGCTGGAAGATTTCTGCTACTGAACATTGTTATAAACGTATTTTAAAAGGACACCCCAAATAGGCAGGCTAATTATTGTTCAGGACTAAAAGCTATGCTTGTGAAGGAAGAACTAGCTTAGCAGCTACATCAAAAAAATAACAGCAGAATGCCTGAAGACAAGATAGTCCACCTGTCAAACAGTTCTGTATTATTTGGCCCACAGAGCAATTGACCAAGAAAAAAAGTAAGCCTCAACACAACAGTGTATTTTCTTTGGGCAAAAATACATCTCCTACAGCCATTAAGCTCAATTTAACTAATATATCCGGGAGATTTTCCTCTTGATGCTAAACTAATTTTCCCAATTTAATATCTTAATAGTAGATTGCTTGTTTCACAAACTTAATTTCAGAATTATTTTCACTTCTTACAATTTTTCAGTTCAACAAGAAAATGTATTTCCAGGGATAAAATCTGCATCTTACTAAAATTAAGAGTTAATGGAGATATAACTACATTAATTTGTTTCTGGTAAAAAACACAGATCGCTTTCTACTTCTTAACCCTAAAGACACCAATGTAATAGAACTGGGTTTTACTTTGGCAGACTGCTTTCAAAAGAAGACTTCATTACTTCAACTATTTTTAACACTTAAAAAATAAACAGTATATTACTTTTTTTAGGGGGTAGTGCAATGTAAAAGGATAAATATGAAGACGTTTAATTTAAAAGAATGTTGATTTTTTTTAGTCAAATTTATGATGTCAGCACTTTAAGTATGGGTGGCAATCAAAACAAGTTACTATAGGAATATATAGGAGACTATGGGACCACCTAACCTCAGGATGATTCTTACCAACAACCACAGGACATATCACACTACCACCAACCCTGGAACTTACCCTTGCAACAAACCCCGGTGCCAGCTTTGTCCTCATAATTTACTCTGCTGACACCATTATTGGACCCAACCATGCCAGTTACAAGATCAAGAACACATATTCCTGTTCATCCAGAAATATAATTTATGCCATCACGTGCCTAAAGTGTCCATCTGCTATGTACATTGGACAAACGTCTCAGACACTTCACCAAAGAATCAATGCACACAAAACAGACATAAGACTCGCTCACAGAGAGAAAGCTGTTGCCTGCCATTTCAGCCAGACTGATCATTCACTTAATGACCTTAAAACATGCATATTGCTTCAAAGAGACTTTAACTCCAGACTTCAACGAGAAGCTTCAGAACTGTCATTCATGCTTAAATTTGACACTTTATGTATGGGTTTAAACAAAGATTCTAATTATTTCACCCATTACAAAAATAGCTTCCCCAATTATCACCCCTATGTCACTACTCACAAACTTACCTTTCCCCCTCACGCCCACTCTGTTCTAAAATTTGATTTGTCAATTTCACATGCGTTCACTTTTTTTTGATTGCATCACTTTGGTATATATGGTTGTGCCGATTTTCTTCCACATATTGATCTGAAGAAGTGGGTCTGGCCCACGAAAGATCACCTAATAAACCATCTTGTTAGTCTTTAAAGTGCTACATAGTTCTGTCTTATTTCCTAACTGTTCTTCTGAAGGTGAACTGAAGTGAAATTGGGTTGTGTCTTTTTATTTATATTTCTTTATCAGGTTGG